AAGAAAGATTCTTAACTTAACATCTTTTAGTATTTCAAACATAATTTAATAAGCTGTTTCATTGATCAATTTTCTGAGTGAGGAAGCATTTTTTCTGAAGAAATATCAAAAACTATGTTTTGTTACTTTTATATTTATAAAATAGCAATTAATCCAATAAATTAAATTTTTTTTTTTATTTGAGTAATGACTTAATTTTTAATCCTCTTTATTTTAAAATAATTTCTTTTTAAATATGGATTTTATTAATCATTATTACTAAAATCTTTATCTACAAACTGGACATGTATCATGTATTTGAGCCCAAGGCTGAATACAATTTGAATGAAACACATGATTAGGATTGCAGCTTAATTTAACAATAAGATCATCATTGGAATAATTTTATAAACAAATATAGCAAGGCTGAGTGTTTGGACTATCTAAATCAGAGTATTTGATTTAAGTTCCTATTAGAAGATCTGCTCTGTTTATTTGTTCTTGTCTTTATCTATTAATTCTACATATTAAACAAGGCAGCATCAAACAAATAAAAAATAATACAAGATCTGTTAATCCTACTGCAATCCATCCAATAATTAATTAAATAACTAAAATCCATTTACTTAACAATAGATTATTTTACAGAAACACTGCATTTCCTACAATAAACATTATTATATAAATCAATTCATTGCATTTTTTTAATCCTTCATGATTACTTATAACTGCAGACCAAATATTTACTTATTAATTAAATATTTGGACTAATTATCTAATGTCTTCATATATTATTTCTACACTTTTTTTTATTTTGATAATACTAAATAAGTGGAATGAGTATTGCAATAATCTCGAAATTAAATAAAAAATTGATTTTTTTTAACATTCATACAACCAAGGTAATGATAGAGAACTTATGACAATGATCAATTATATATATAAGTATAATTGAATTGAACTTATCAAATTTCTTAACCTTTTCCACTATTCATCAATCTCTACTACCCTATCTTAAAGGTTTTCAGCATCCATTTTATTAAATTTATAAATTATAATTAATATTTAGTTTAAAAATATAAGACACAACTAATATATTATAAAAGATCATTAAACTTGATTTGATCTATGAAAAATTTTAGTTTATATTATACTATTTTAAATTTATTTAAAATTTATATAAATCCTCATTCTTCTATGATTTCCATATATATTTCTCTTTAGATGAATTATTCCTAGTAATAAAATACTCCCCATTATCACTCATTTACCAGAATAAATTTATATCGCCAAATTTAATAGATCACTCAAAATTAATTTCATCATTTTCTGTTTTTCTTTTTAAATTGATATTATTCTGCTTACTCACAAGTAACTATTTTGATTTTATATTTTATTTTGGGAAGAATGCAAAGCCAACATGAGCACTTTAGTCCAGAGTAATATGTTTAGTTTTAATAAACTATTTCTTTACACTATTCATCTAATAAGATATTTATCATTATTTTTTTGTAAACTTCAAATCGTTTTTGGAAAATCCATTCAAGTTCTGTTTATTATAATATTTATTATTTTTTTGAGGTTTATAGTAAAAAATAATTTGTTCATAAATTTTAATATTAATTATTTAATAGAATTAGAAAATTTAGATTTTATATACTTAAGCTGATAATCAAAATCAGTAAATAATAAGAATTTGTATTGAGAGAAACTACCAACATCAAAAGCCTTTGTCATTGTTGTTTAAACATTTATGTTTAACATGTCAAGAAGTTATTTCCTTTGGAAAACCTAAATGAATAGATTTAACAACAAATGACCATTATTAAAGATGTATAAAACAATTTTTAAGAGTGCAAATCAGTTCTTGGCATGTTAAATTGAAGTTAATCAACTCAAATAATCAATCCAATAAATTAAATAAATTATTTAGGTAAACAGATTAAAATCAAATTTAAAGCCATTCATCTTTGACCTCATTATATAAAATAAAATAAAATTGAGTATAATGAATTTTATTTGGCAATCGCTTTAATAAAGATTGCTATATCGTGGTAGCTGGGTATAATGAGAAGATAAAGTAAATCTACATATAGAAGGGAAACTGAATCAAATATAAATGTGAAGTGAGCGTACAGATTATGCAACTCCTTTGATTTTCATGAGGAATACATATAATTTTGTATCCGGGGAGTGTGATTCATTAATTATAATATGATCGGTAAATGATGGAAATTCAAATTCGATATATTGTTTATTGTTGAACAATAATATTGATCTAATAATATGTTTGTGGTGATATAATACAATCAAATTTCGGATTAAATAGAATTAATAGTTGCGTTAATAACCATAACTGATCATACTCATTTTGTGTTATCATTAAGTTTAAATGATCAATAAAATATTAAGTGATTTCTTGTTTAGAAGATTAATAAATATTAGTATTAGAATAGTCATCATAATTGAATAAAAAGTGAATTTTTATTTAAAAGATAAAATTAGATTAGTTTGGATAAAGATTATGTTTTATTAATGCTAACTAATTTACGTTCTAACCTTTTTTCTAAAGAACAAATGCAATTACATAATATGGATAGTAATACTAAATAGTATCTAAGGAAATTACTTTTTGATCTTGATTGTTGTTCATTTTCATCATAATACTTAAAGTCAAAATTCCTGTTAGTGAATAAGAATGGCAAGAATGTTAATTTAATGAGAAAGAAAGAAAATGGTGACTTTATTCTAATTAATTAGCATCTAGATAATAAAATTAATGAATAAAAATAAATTTCTAATAGAAATCTAAATATAGTGGAAAAGGACTGATAGAAAATAAAAAATGTCAACTATAAAAAGTAAATTATTATACTTATTTTAAAATATCAAACTAAGTTGCTCAAATAATGATAATTACGCTAATCTATTTAATTATCATCATTTGAAGATATCCAGTGCAGAACTTAGTTTGACCTTTTAATATAAGCAGAACAATTTACTTTATTGGAGAAAATGGATTCGTTTGTAATCTGATTATTTAAATTAGAAAAATTCATAGATTAGATCATAAATTAAAAATATTTTTATTTTTCTAATTTTTTCAGTAAGAAATATGGAGTTCAATTTAGTTTAATTTGATCAACACATGTATTAAAACTATTAATATACTTCTTGTTTATACTCTTTTGTAATTATGTGCAACATTACTAAAATGGAAAACCTATATTTCATAAAATTGTGATTATAACTTTCATTAATTTTTTTATTATCTTAATATAAGATTGAAAAAAGAAAAAATAAATCTTATTTGAGATTTTCTTTTAAATTAAAAAACTTAATCTCTTGGATGATAATTACTAGTTTCATCTCTTCATTTATTATTATACTAGCTTGAACTCGATTCTGGTATTTTTAAAATTAGAAACTTAACTGTAAATGATTGAACTAAATAACTTTTTTTGAGTAATACTTTGATTACAAAATTTTTAAGATTCAAGAAAACTTGCAATCAGAAACAAAATTGAAGACAATAGTTTCGCAAGTTCTATAATTATAGAATGATAAATCACCATTCATTAATCAGGTCTATTTAATTCTGTGTAAAAGATTTTATTAGGGTGAATTGGGATTCACTATTAAAAAGCTGTTCCATGCTTTAACCCAAAGTTCGTAGTTTCCGACTTTTCTATTTATCTATTTATTTCTTAGTTCACAAAATAGATACTGATGAGTTGTAATTTGAGTGTCTAAAATATTTCCAATTAAATAGCAATGAAATGAATAACCTTTTTTGAAAAGTTTTTTACGTTAGTCGTATGAGAGATCAAAAAACTGAAGACATAGAAAAAAATTAGAAATGAAATTTAA